ATTTTTTTTTTTTTTTGTAGTTTTATTGAAAAACGACAAAGTACTGCAGTTAAGTTTTTTCCTTGTCTTTTTATACTTATAAAAACAAGAAAATTAAATATCTACTATAAAAAAATTTAAAACTGCTAGTCTCATTGTCAACAATAACACACCTGCAAGATCCAAATTAAAGGGAACCAATATTATTTATGAATTTGCATATCACTTAAGGGACTGTGTTCCTGATCAAGACAAATTCATGAAAAATTATATTGAATATGCTACTTCATGCCTAGTAGGAAGATTCATTTTACATCTCTCTGACCATTAGGTTTCATGTAAACATACACACAGACCTACCAAACTCCATTTGCAATATACTTGTAGACAATACAAATATAATAATCTCATCCACATGAAAAAATGCTAAGAATAATGGAAACCTTAATAAAAAAGAAAAAGCTAACACTCAATAACATCAACTATGAACATAGCCACAATGTACTGATTGTGTTTCGAAAAATAAAACATTCCTGTAACTCTAGATACATAAATACAAAAGAAAAAAAAATACATGCATTCAGTTAAAAGTAAAAATAAAATTATCTTTGATAACTGCTAAAAGAATAACTGAAAGCATTTGGGCATACAAAAAATTTGGACAATTTCTACAAAATTTATGCCCAGAAGAGGAAAAAAAAAAAAAAATATAAGAATACAAGAAAAATTAAATAAAAGACCACAATATTTTGTCACTTATTTTTAGCAAAACGTGTATTTTAAAAAAAAAAAAAAAAAAAAAAGGATTGCTGCCCAAATATACACATACACACGTTTTCTATATTTATTAGAGAAAAGTGCTCAATATCCATGATAGTATTTCTAGATATAAACAGTGGGGATGTAGAATTCAACACTGCCTGGTTGTTGCAATTTATTTTGTTAGACAATCAAGCAACTAATATATATATATATATATATATATATATATATATACACACACACACACAAGTTGAAATCTAAAGAGTAGACTAAACAATTATGCAAAAGTTTGTCTGCGAACTCTGAAGTTGAGTTGCTGAATATAACATCAATCAGCTGACAAATTTATTTGTATTAATCCTATATATATATATATGTGTCTGTGCATGCTCACAAATCTAACTGCTGCTTTTCATCTTTTATGCAAGTTATTCTTTCTTGATTTAACAAAATGAAAATTTAACTAATCCCAATTATAAACTGTGAATATGCTTATTCTTCAAAATTAATATTAAATTTAAATGGAAATATGAACGAGCCTTTTCAATTATGTATTAATCATTTATTGATTATTAATTTTTATTCATAATTTATTTTACTTTGTTCAGTATTATAATTGTTATTTGTCACCAGTGATTTTCTGTATTTATAGAAATTAAGGTCTGTGTCTAGGTAAGTTTTCTTTTTTTACAGAGATTCTCCAATGTGACAAATAAAGTGAAAACCTGTATACTCTGACATTACTGTGGTTCATTAAATATGAATTTGTGAACTGTGTATTTTCATAAGCAAATAAAAGTTGAGTGTGTGTACATAGCACGTCTTTTACTTTAGTCAACTAAGTGGTGAGAAAAATACAATTTGAATAATATCGTATAAATATTTACGTTATATAACCTTCAGTTTTAGCTGCTGTAAAGCTATTTTTCAATCCTTTCATATTGCATTATTTAGTCTATATTTTTAATTGTTGCTTTGACAGCATTGATGAATTTTCTGTTTTCAGTCTTTAGTTACAGCGATATTTTATTTTGCTATATGATTTTACATAAAATGGCTGTTATATATTCATAAATTCAAGTATATATTGAGATGTTCATAAACTGACATCCATTATTTGAGATATATTTAAACCTACACTTTAATTTTTCTTTTAGCAAATGATATAGGATAACAGGAATTAAATCTTAAACTCCTGAATTGAAAATGTTAACATTTAGAATTTGTATTGTATAACAGTCTGTACAACTATAATAGAACATTTTAAGAATTACTCAAAATGAAACCTTTATTTGGATGTCAATTTATATAAAATAAATGCTTTTATGAATCTGCTTAGCCCTAGTGTCTTTACATTCTCTTGTAGGTGTTTAATTCCAGACATGTTTATTTTCCATAAAAGCAATGCCTCATCTCAACTGTTAAAGTGTATAGTTAGGATCAGTGCTGGTGCAAGAGTTTTGTGATGCCCCTTCACCCATTTATAATATGGGGACCCCCCCACTACATTTCAATTTTCATAAGGTATAGTATTCATATGAAATACAAATTTTATTTTAATCTAATGATGTACAATAATGGATCATATGCAATATAAGTGAACAATTTAACAAGAAAAATTGAAAATACAGTATCTATATACAAATTAGAGACATATCATTCCATCTTAAATAAAACAACATTTTGTGGCAATTTTTTAACATCAACTTGAGATTTTTTATGTTAAAAATTTGAATTTTAACATATTCAACATTATAGATGAAAAATAGTGAATTTTATACAGTGTTTTCTTCAAGACTTAGCATGAGGAAAACAAATTCACAGATTTGGATTAAAAATAAGACTGATGTCAAAATTTGCAAAAGTTTTTTTCATCCTTTAATAGTCAGTTGTGCTTGCTTTTAATTTGTAGCGTATAAATGTAGGTAGTAAAAAGCAAATGTTGATAAGATAGCAATGGTCATAGAGCACTGACTCAGGTCCCCAATCAGGCTCCTCCTCTTGGTTCTTGGAGTAGTATGTACTGGCCCTGGTTAGGATACACCATATTTCTATTATGGTTAAGATTTGCAAGGTTCAATTAAAGGTGGATGCTCAGTTTGTTAATTCTCTAATGTCTAAGGGTTAAAAGGAAAAGGAGTTGAATTTCTAACTTCCCTTCCAAACCTGTGGTTGTTATCTGTTGTCATAAATAAGTGATAAGCCTTAGTAAATATTCTTTGAGAAATGCTTGGTAGGAAAATTATATTTGGCTGGTATGCATCATCTGAATTAATTACTTTCCATTCCCCTCTCCCATTCAGCATCTGTGAGAAGAAATTAAAACTCTTATATAAATATAAATCTTGAAGATATTAGTTGCTAGTTTTTTTTTTTTTTTTTTTTTTTTTTTAACAAAATTTAAATTAAGTTGAAAATGATGTTACCCTTCTGAATAACTACAGTACTAAACATTTACATTGACCTACTTTAATTCTCTTGTCAGTCAAATCTTTTTTTGATGGTAAAATCTCACTTTAATCATGTTTCTATTTGAGAGACTTAAAGTTTACAGATAAAGGTTATAGTATTTCTGGACAGATTTTTGAACTGATTCAGTCTTATCAAATTGTGAAATGAATGTTGCCTTGAATGGCCACTCTTCTAGATCATTTTGCATAAATGCAGATGTTCCCAGGGTTATATCCTTGGACCTACATTGTTTCTAGTTCTCATAAATGAACTTCCTGATGTCATCAATCCTCAGCGCATTATCTATGCTTATGACACAACTATTTACTCCTGTCTTAATAGTAAGTCTGATCGATTCAATAAAGTCAAATTGGCAGCTGATCTCAAAAATAACATGCAAGCTGTTGTTATATGGGGCAAGGGGTGGCTTGTTAATTTTAACACCACAAAAATGAAACTGCTCTCTTTTAATCATCTGAGAGATTTCTTTTTACATTCCATTAGCCTGGCTGATGCTAACCTCCAGAAGAGTGACTTTTGCCTTCTAGGAGCAATGATTTTGGTTGACATGAAGTGAAAAAAATCAGTTATTAAATCTGCAGTGAAGAAAGTTGGTTTGCTATGTTGTGCTAGACAATTTTTCTCAGCAGAATCTATCTAAGTCTACTTTTTGTCCTGGCTTTGAATATTGCTGCCACATCTGGTCTGGTGCTCCTGCTATATATTTAGAGATTCTTGATAAAATCCCAAGAATCTGCAATGTTATTGGTCCTGACCTGGCATCTTGCCTTCAGTCTCTCCCACCACCATAACGTAGCTTACCTGGTGCCTTTTCTATAAATACTTTCATGGTAATTATTCTGAACTTTATACTACCTAGACTTTATAAATATAACTACAGTACTAGATTGGCAGCCACGTTTCATCAGTTGAAATGGCTAGATGTAACCGTAAATTCTATGCTAACAGTTTCTTTGGCTTCTTGCTTCCCAATCCGTGTTGATCTTCAAAAATGCAATGTCAATTGTCAACTTCTGTTTTTTAATTGTTATTCTTTTATTGTTCTCTCTCCTTAATAGTAGTTTTTTTCGTATTCTCCTACACTCAGTAACCCCTTGTGCCCTAGTGGCTTTATTGCATTGGGGTGAAATGATTAAAAATAAATAGTAGGTAGATGAGTTTAGATAATCTGCAGTTATTTTTTTTTCTTTCTGTATATTAAGCTAATGCAAAGATTCCAACATTTTGACTGTTATCAAATGTGATTTCTTGCATATTTCAAGCAGTAGTCTTTAATCTTGGGTATTGTATTTGATAAATACTTGACACCTCAAGCATGTAGGATGCAACATGAGGTCAGTTTAATATGGTGGACACAAGCATGTGCACCCAGGACAGGTACAAAAATAGCCCAGTACCCCACAACTTTCGGTTGTACTGGCTTTGGTATTATTACCACACCCCCTCCCTTTATTGCAACAAAGGAGGTAATGGTGTGGGCAGCTGTTCCTCAGGACTGGGCACATCTCAGTTTTTTGGTTGTGTTTTGCCGGAAGACAAAGATACAGCCGAGTTGTACTCTGTCTAAAAACAGTGACAATGGAGAGATGATAAACGAGATCATAAGCAGAATTTTACATGTCTGATCTGCAAGATTCGCATACCGTATTGTGTCCCTACCCTTATTTCTTGGGCACATATAGTGTCTATGCCTTAGCTATGCTAATAGGCAGTCATTTACATATCACTACATTGACAAAATCATGTATAATAATATACATATAATAATAGCATTATTATGGCTTATGTTGAAACACCAGTTCCTGTATGATCACTGAAGTTAAGCATCATTGAGGCTGGTCAGTATCTAGATTGGTGACTGTTTGGGAATACCAAGTGCTGTAAGCTTGGATGTGCAGTTGGTGTAATGGATAACAGTTTGGAGTTGTTAATCAAGGAACAGAGTTCCAATTCCAGTTGAGTTCATTATATTCACTTACATACAAATATCCTTGGGAAAGGTAGGAATCCACCTCTTCTCACTGGCAGCTATGGATTAATTCATAGTTTTAGTGGTAAGACTTGTATTATTGTACGACTAAAATCATTTCCAAAAAGAAAAAGGTTCTTACAATGTAAATATTTTCTTGTTTTAAATAAACTGCAATAGGTTGATAAGCTTATCAACCCTTTGCAGGTTATGAATCATCAATCCTTTCATCATTATTCAATCAAATTATTTCTCTGGTTTTCTGTGACCACATGCTACTTTTCAGGTAAGTTACGTATTCCATCATTTATTTTGGTTTCATCATTCAAGTATTTTTTTTTCTTGAACTTGTGCTGACCACAAAGAGTGCTTCATGGAGTAAAACAAAGTTTGGAGAGTGCAAGATGCAGAAGTTCTTTCTACTAGAGCTCTGATCATTTGTAACAGAAAGATAGGAATTGTCATCAAGTAAAAATTACTGTTTGCTTTCTTTGGCCAAAAAGTGGTCTTTTCTGTTCAAACTGCCATTAAAGTAAACCTTTCACTAGCCTTGGTTCCAGCAATAAAAAAATCCCCTTTGAATCTCTCAACATGCAGAAATTTTTTTCTTTGTAGATTCTATTTATCGAAAATGATCCTGAATTTAGATACAATTAACTTTGTCTACACACAAGAAAAATGTTTAAACATTGAGCAATATTTGTTTCCATAAATTAATGTGAGACTCCTTTTCCTAGCTTTTGAATGTTCCCAAATATTTTAAAAAAAAATTGTTTGATTGACTCTTAATTTTTCTGCAGGTTCATATGTTCATTGTGCTGATTTTGCTTTTTAGAATGTTTTTTGCTCAAATCTCTGTCTATATCTATATATTGCAAACTATTGATACTGCATTATTAACGTAACTTCTGCTGCACTTTTCCAAGCTTAAATGTAGTGTCAAAGGTACATCTTATATTTGTCTATGACTTTTGCCAAAAGTACAATTCAAATTTTTGTTAACTTTTAAAGAGTATGCACAAATAAACACCAAAGAACTGAATAAACCTTGAAAACACTAACATACAAAATGTAGTGCTGGTAACTTTAGCATCAACCAAATAATTCCTTTTTATAAAATTAAAATCATTCTGTTGGGTTTTGAAAATAAGATACAGATTTCTCTTTTTTTGTTTAAAGCAATTTTGATAGAAATAACCACTCTTCTTATTTTATGTAAAAAGAAGTGCATCAGTTTATTTACTTTATTTTTTCTAATGCACTAAGTTAAAAAAATAACTTTGGTAGATATTTTTTATACTTTTTAAGTGACAGCATGCAACAATTATTGAAATCAGATGAAAATAGATAACAATAAATGGGTGGTACAGATTAGATTTGGGTGGTCAATAGACATCAGGCCGAATATGGTGGCATCTGTTGAGGTGTGAGATTAGCAGGTTTGTTTGATTTTTACAATTTGAATTTTGATAGAAAATTGTTCATGAATGTTTGTAAAATTACTTCTAAAACTTAAAGTATTAAGAATTTTATTTAAAATTTGAAGTCATTCTTGTCTTTTATATGTTTTTTGAGATAATAGAAATTGTAAGTATTGATCCTTGAAGTAAACTATTTAATCACTACCTGAGTAATAGTTACATTACTTTGTGAATTATATGAGGTATTGCTGAAAAGTTCTTTGCTTGACCCATTTCCTAAAATCTGATCAAACATCAGATATTTTTTATTTTGAAGGCCATCTTGATCAGACAAAAAAATTTTTCAGCACTGTATCTTCTGATCTATATTTTCTCATATATAATTTGATATGTGGAAAAATAAAGAAGTTTGTTGAACTTTATTTCAGGCAAAAGGTTTGTGTATCATTTTCTTTGTTTTATAAATGCAAGTATTTTAGTATATTATTTATTTATAATCTGTGTATTAAATAATGGCTACATCAATCACTTAATAGTAAATTTCTTTTTACTTTTGTGGTCTCTGTTTAAAAAAATTTGTTATTGCCAGTTTGTGTTGACATAACAATGTTTTTTTTTTTTTCTAAATTATAAAATATAAGTGTTTTTACATACAATCGACATTTGGAAATCATGTCCAAATTGTGTTTTGCTTTAATAATATAGTTGAAATGTTTGTAAAGACTTAGTTTTATCTCAAGATATTTAGTCAAGATCCGATTCAGTTTGTCTATGAATGAGAGTGAAAAAAATGTGTAAATAGACTTTAAAACAAATAGTTGACATTTTCCATTATTTAGTTTTAAAACTTAAATTTCAAGGAATTATTATTCATTTGATATAACACTTTATAACATTTCTAATTTTCATGTGTCTTACTAAATATTTGAAAAAAGACAAATAAGAAATGTATTTTTTACACTAAAAATCTATGCATTTTCATTGACATTTACCATAATGATGCCTTCATTAACATTTACACTGAGATTTTTTTAAGAATAATCTCATTCAGTGTCACATTTGTCTGACCTTACATATTTGTTGGCTCTGAATTTTTCATGTTTTCTACTTCTGTATAAATAAATAGAAAACTGGCACAAATAGATAAAATATGTTCAGTAACCTATTACTTAGGTTACCATTTTATTTTATTTTATGACTATCAATTTCTTTTAGTCAAATATAAATTTTGAAAGCAAAACTTATTACTATTAATACTAAGATTATCAATTTTTATCTCAAACCTAAATCTTCTGTTAATTTCTACCAGAAAAAAAATATCTGATAGAGAAAAAAAAAAATCTGAGATTTATTTCAAATATGGTAATACTTGATTAAATTTGTTGGCAGTTGGTAACTTGAGCTTCTATCCACTTGAACTAGCAGCCAACCAATATTTTCTTCATTGCCTTTCTTTATTCAATTTCATGTGGGAGGGAAGGCTCTCTTCTCTTATGATGCGATGTTCCTTACACGCACAATAAGTGAATGATAGTACTATAATTTTTCTTTAAAGTTTTCTTCGGATCTTTACAAAATGAATTGAGTTTATTAGTCCGAGAAAACTTAGGTTCAACTGATGCCTTGTGTTACAAAAATTCTTTCTGATGTGTTTTAAATTACTCACTATCCATCTCCATCTTTTGGTATAATTTACCGTTCGCTTCTCTAAAACATTAAGAATTCCAGTTAAAACACAAGGTACTGCGACACTTCCAAATTAGGAAAAACTTGCCAATGAAATCGTATTAAAAGAATGGTTAATTAATCAACACATTTGATTGACATAAGGAAGAAATTATTTTCGTGCACAGATGTGAATCGGGATACAGGAAAAACGATGATACCTTCGTTTTTGCATCTGATATAAACATTATTAGCATGCGTAAAACTATTTTTAAAAAAAGGAAAAATAAGTATTCAAAAACTGAAATGATTTTATTTATAAGGCGTAAAAACGATCATGCCTGTTTAATGGCTTAAGAAAAGTGTAAGTCAACAAAGTGTATTATATTTGTAAAAACTAAAAAGACTTTAATTTGTCAACGCACATTATTAGACCTCAACAAAATTTTCCTGAATAAAATATGCAGACTCAGTGAGCACATATGTTGCTGGTAGTGTTAGGAATGAAGGGTGAAAAATCGCTTTAATGAATTCTAAGAATGTAAAAAAAACAAAAACAAAAAAAAAAAAAACTGCAGTTGCTAGTATAGCTGAAGTATTTTCATAAGGAAATAATCAAGTTATTTTGTTCCTCATCGGAAGAAGGAAAAACAACGGATAATAACACTAGCATTCAACCAAATAAGGAATAAAAATATAATGATATGGGTTTTTTCTTTAAAGTGTTAAAAAGATAAATAAAAGCCCTTCATCTTGTTTCACTGCTGAAACATGCATTTTTAGCTTCTATGTACGTACACATGTCGTGCGTGTATATGTGATATAGCTAGGAAACTAAGAAAAACGGATCTATAAATAAGTAATACAAGATATGAGTCAATAATATCTTATATTTTTTTTTACACCGAGAAAACAATAATGCGCGAATAATGCACTCTGCAATAACTAATTAGCGCATACAAGAATAGAGTTACTTACATTATTTCGCATAAATTACGTACTGAAACTTAGATTTGTTCTGTAGGGGTAAAAATTAAAAATTTAAGATTATTTTTTAGTTTAAAACAAGAAAATAGAATAAGCGTTCGACTAGAACATTTATTTTACTTCGAAATAAAAGGAAAATGGATTGCAAAGTACATTATTAGTTCAATTACATGGATAGGAAAAGGAGTTGTTGGTGCATGTGAAAGGAAAATAAGGGATGTGAATGAATAAAAATGAATGAGAAGGGAAGTGAGTAAAAAGATAAAAAAAGCTCATTTTTAAAAAGTTTATTGGATCATGAATAATGCGAATAAAGAAAAAGGTTAAAATTGAAGTAAATATTCTCATTGAAAGTAATTAAAAAAGTGAGTGGGGACGGGCAAACAAAACAACCCTTAATATACATATTGTAAGGGTATATATTAGGGGTGAGTGGGGAAAGGGTTTGAGAAGAATGTAAGGCAAAGATTGAGGTGGGGGTTGTAAGATAAAAATGGAAGTAAGAAAGAAAGGCGAGTAGGAAAAGTAGGGAGCGAGGAAGTAGAGAGAAAAATAAGGGAGGAGGAAGAAAATGGAGCGACTAGATGTTAGGGAATTGTGTTGTGTACGGTTCTGACTGGTTGGCTAGCTGACAAGGAGCAGGGAACATTCATTCTCCATCTCTTCAATCTCTTGTACTCTTTAGTTTCCTCCCCCCCTTTTTTTTCGTGAATATAATTTAATATGCAAAAAAAAAAAAAAAAAAAATAAATTAAAAAATAACAACTTATATAAATAAAAAAAGGACAAAAAATAAACAAATAAAAGTAAAACAGATTGATGGGGAATGTGAAGAGTTTTAAAGTCTAGGTTTCGACTTCAGATACCTCTTAATTCGGTGTAGCCTTCATTTTATTGTATTTATAAATGCCGGAAGAAGAAAGAGAAGAGAGAAAACACACACACACACACACACACACACACACACACACAAGAAGAGTGATTCTTTTGTGTGGTAGGTCACCCCATCAGATCAGAACACGTTTTTGTTAAACATGCGCGTATGTATGTTATTGTTAAGGAAAAAGGTGTTTGCTGTTAATATTTTTGTTTATTTATTTATTTTAACTATTGACTGAATTAAATAATGAAAATTAAAAGCGATAAAGAATATAGATTTATTCAGAAAAGAAAGTGCTGAGAAGAAAAGGATAAAAATAACATACATAATTTAATTTCGCACCAAAACAAAACAAAAAATCGATCAATAAAAAAGTAAAACTAACATAACGTCTTTTTTGCGATTCGGATACAAACGAATGAAAAAAATGACTTTAACGAGAGAAAAACAAGTTGTAGAAATCCTGCCCAAGATAAAAATTAGTTTTACTCATTATATTTCAATTAGAATTATAAAGAAAGCCGAAAAAAAGCCTAAAAAAAAAACAAACTAAAAATAAAACTGAAGTTACAGTAGTACGCCCAACATAACATGCGAATTATTTAGCACGGACAATAGGGCACAATGCCCCAAGTTTTAATCCCTAAGGTTTGTGTTAAAAATCCCCTTTTTTTTTTTGTTTTATTTTTTTTAAAAGAATATAGAAAAAAGAATAATTTTTTTTTTTATCTTATGCGTACATGTGTTTGTGTTTTTTGCAAAGTGGGCGCGCGTGCCTGCGTGCACGCACTCACGTATACACGAAAAACAAGAAATATCTCGGTCAAATAATGAATGATTTTAAAATAGTACACTTTCTGTCAAAAGACAGTTATTTGCTTTTGATTTTATTAAACATCGCAGCCGTGACATACCATGATTTATTTGAAGAAATATTTTTAAAAAAATTCAGGGAAAACAACAAAAAAAAAAAACAAAAGAAAAAAAAGATGAATATGGCAAGAAGAAGAGTTACACATGAAACAACGTCAAACCGAAACACTGTCCTTATATATAAAAATCGATATTTGTTAACGTCATATTTTATGTTAAAACCATTTATAGATCTAACTAATGACATCTTTATATAAACAGACCAGTTTTGTTTCACAGCTTCACATTTATTTTTTGCGGCTTCTTTTGCTTTTAAAGCAAAATACTACAAATTACTGAAATATTTCATAAAATAAATTGAATAAATAAAAAAGAAACCATGCAAAAATAAAAATAACCTCGAATTTTTTTTCTCGTATTTTTAAAACAACAAACAAAAACGAAAACCCCTTGCTTCTCAGAATTAATTTCTGAAAAAAAAAATATCAATAAAGTTAGGGTTATTCTGAGATCTCAATATTTACTAAAGATTTAAAAAGAAAAAAATTATTTAAAAACAAAACAAAAGCACATTCTTGAATTTGAATAGTTCATATGTTCAGAGACTCAATATTTCTTTTTTTTGTTGTTGTTGGTGGTGGGGGGTATAGAAACAAAACTACACTAACATTATTTTTCATTGGTTAAAAAAAAGCAAGACAAAAACTAAAAACAAAAAATAAGAATCTGTTGAGGCAAAAAAAAACGACTAAAAAAGTGATCTTTTAAGGCAAAGCTAAAGCCTCCATGTTAAAAAAAAGAATAGGCAACAAAAGATTCTGTAGATTTAGATTTTAATTAAATTAATAAAACTAAATTCGTAGTTAAAAAAGTAATGTGAACTGAACAAGTACTACTCGTACTAAGTACTAGTAACAGCACTACAACTATCATCAACAAAACAATAATACCACCTACGACGAAGCTAAGCATTGCAAGCACTTAAATGAAACAACAGGTTGAAATCAAAACGTGAAACCATTTCATAAATGATGGTCACTTCAAAAAATATTGAATGCGATCTACAAATAATTGTAGTTTTAAATTAATATATTTTAAAAAGTGCTAGACGAAAAAAACCATTGTGAACTCTCACTAAAAATTCTCATGGACAATGAATGAAGTAACCGAGTATATTTATGTTCATTTTAAATCTATAATCAATTAAATCTGATGGTTAAAACTAAAACACAACGCAGTGAGTGTAAAGCAACAATAAAGGTTTGGTTCATGCATCAGATAGATATAAAATGTTAGAAAGAAAAAAAAAAGGAAAAAGAAACTAACCACGTGTCCGCGAAAGAAAGAGAAACGAACTAGATACAAAGGGAGAGTATAAGAGAAAAAACGAGAGCAGAGAAAAATAGAGAAAGAGAGGGGCGAGAGAGAAAAAACAAATACTAAAAATGAAATAAAAAAGCAAGCATATAAAAGCCATTAATGAATAATACTGCAAAACAAAAACAAAATGAGAACCACTTTGTAATTTTAGACATTATACAAGTTTAATCATTTAGAAAACTGGATTCAAACTTAACTCATTTTATTTAAAAATAAACAAAGCAGAACATTTATAAACGGCTTTCTTTATGAATCAATTAAAAAAAAGAAGAAAGAATAATGAACGAGTTCTTTAACGAGATAAAAAATTCAAGTCTTTTTTTTTTTTAATAAATGTAAATATTTTAAACGAAAAGATACCAGCTTGAAAATCAATTCCAAACATAACAATCATAATTCACATAGACGAAATTCTTTCACAAGCTCGTATCGAACTGTTAAAAATATGGGTTAAACTTATCAAGTAAATCAAATAGAAAATAAATTAATGAAAGCCGAAAGGAGCGCACAAGTGCACGTACACAAACTCGCTGTATATACATATTTTAGGAATATAAAAGTTGTTTTTGTACAGTTTATTACTTATTGTAAAAAACAAGTTATCTATAAAATAAAATTAATATTGTAAAATCAACATTAAAGATTATTTAACGTAAAAATGACTATAATATATTAAAAATTGATAGCCTCCCTTATCGCAGCCCTGTTTTGATATTGTCAGACAAGCTTTCCGAAGCAAAGTGAAATAGATCAAGCTATATTACATAAATCACAGGTGTTTTGGATTTTAATCTTTTAAAATGAACAAATTTTATGTCGATATAATGAAATAGTTTACGTTTTATGATTGATATATTGACTTTTTGATATTCGAGTTTCACTATTTGAACCGGGTATAAGGGAAAGTTTCAGTATACACCGGTTCACAGTAATGGCGAGGTGAGAGCTGCTTGTTGATGTTGATTTACGAAACAGAATTACGCACGCCGAGACTAAAAGAAAAACATCAGTACTGGAAAAATACAGAGCCTCCCTTTTTTGGAAGCAGTTTATCTACAGTTGAAAACACCATTTAATAACTTAGAAAGGAGTCTGTGGATGTGAAGGCTAAAGTAGAGAGAAAAAGGGAGAAAGAAAAAGAGAAGCTACCACCGTCGTGGTCTTTTTCATGGTATGTAGACCCGACACTAGCAGCAGTTGAGTTATCCTTCTCCTCCAGGGAGGCATTAAATTCTACACTTTGTGCGTCCCTGTCTGCCAGTTCGGGTGAGTTGGTTACATAGTTACGCTCACTCCTAAAAATGTAATTGTAAATTACTAAAAAGAGAGAATATCTCTTCTTTTTATTTTGTAGAGTATATTACAAAGGAAATTTTGCTTGATCGCAGTGATCCAGGTCACAACTCTTGTGACATCACGCATACGCACACACTCCACATTTTAACGTTTATTTAGCTTTTTTTTGCAAACTAAAATAGATTCTACCTACGTTATATAACTTATTTTGTTCTTCAACAAAACCGAATTTACTTTTCCACCCTTGTAAAATGGCTTTATGTAAAATATACAATGGAACACGTACAGTAACAGTACGTACACACATTTCATTTTTTACTCACGCACACGCCTTTTTTCTTTTCATTTTTTTCTTTTTTAAACACAGAGTACCCATCCAACTTTTATTATAATTTTATCTTTTATAATTTTCTAAAGAAATATTAGTGTTTGTTTTTTGTTTTTTTTGTTTTTTTTAATATTTTGTATTTGACTATTATTCATAGTTACTATGGAGAAGTAAGCGATAAGGAAAAAAAAATTGAGCCTTTTAGTTTTAATTATGACAATTGTCTCCAGCCTAGAATTTATTTATCCCCCCCATGGATTTTTCTATTTTGCGTTTTATTCGTCCTCTTAATTTTTTTAAAAGATTTTATTGGCTTAATTGTTTCATATATTTTAAAGTAAAAATTTATAAAACAAAAAGTAGAGAAAAAAAAATGTAATTATTGATAAGAATTTACACTATCATAATCCGAAATGGCAATTATTTGACGTCGCTATGTTCATTGGTTTATAAAGCGAGCGTTTGGTTTGTAATAAATATTTTCTTTAATCTTTATGAGGTAGATTTAATTATCTGCATTATCCGCGATTGTATTTGTTGTTTTCTTTTTTATTTGCTTTTTTTTTTTCATTCCTTATAATTAAAAAAAAATCGCAAATATTTATGTACTAGAAAATAATTTACGATCGTGTTTAGTTAGTATGTATTATTTATTTTCGATGTTAATGCTATTTTAATTTTAGTGTTATGGCGTGTATTTATTTGTCGTGTATGTCGATTCGTAAGATTTTCCCCTCATTTCATTTTAGTTTTTCGTTGTAGTTTGTACACAGTTTTTAACGTTTTCTTTTCAGAGATATTTTAAGTTATGCAATTAAAAAATATCTTTTGACTTATTTGAAAAATATTTTTAAATCCTTTTCAGTTGAGTTATTACTTTTTTTTATTTATATGTATTTTTTATTTAGCTAAAAATACCAGTTTTGAAGAGGTTAGACTTGGACAATTTTAATGTTTTTTAATTTAAGGAATAAAACGAATTTTTTTTTTTTTTCTGATTTATGGGTTTTCGATTTGTGACTTTTTAAAAAATTCGGTTTTAAATAGTATTGTAAAAACTGTAAATCGAAGGTAATGAAATAATGTAATTATTGTAATTTGTCATATTTATTCTGTGTTGGAATAAAAATATTTTGTGGTTATTGAATGAAAAATATGACAAATGCGTGTAACTTACTCTCTCCAATCGTTCCGTTGTGTGTGTGTGTGTGTGTGTTGTAGAGAGAAACCGAATCAATAGTCCTCATAAGACCGATATAATTTAAGAGGTTGCATATTTTAATTTTTCTATGTTATATGTGTATTATTGTGTTCATTTGTAAAATGTGCATGCATATATACATATATTTTTTCTACTCTTTGGTTTCTCTTAAGGATAATGTGTATGTGGGTATGGAACTAGGAAGTGCACAAGAATAAGGTATATATGTACATAACCATAGCGTGAGAGAAGAATGTGGGTGATGGAAATGGCGTGGAACACACGCACGTAATATTAACTATACGAAGAAATGGGGTGCGCACGTTGAAAAGATCGCTGTGTTATTTGCTTGTGTTGAAAACTAATTATAAATCTCAAGTCTATTACTTGGGAGATTTTTTTTCTTTTTTTTTGTTTTTTCTTTATATAGTGTTTTACATCAAATATTTGAATAGGTTTCAACTAGGAACTATTCAAATTTTGGATTTTTCTCTCATTTTCATGTGCGCATTGAATTAAAAAAACAAAAAAACTTGTCAATTTTATTTACCGTTTTTGTATTGTGTAGGCATGAACAATTTAATCTATGGATTTAAAATAAAGATTTATTAAAAAAAAATAAAAATATGCGGGATTTCCCATTTTTTCCTCTCCGATCGGGAACCTTTCTAAATGTTAATTTTCCTGTTGTTTTTCATCTTAGTGCTAATAATTGTACACATTCTAAATTTATTTATTATATTATCTACCCTTCAATGCTCCTTGTTCACACGCACGCACATTCTCTCATGTATACTAAAGACGAATACGTATACGCACACACGTTTTTCTCCTTTGTCTTGTATCCATTCATATCCCTTCCCTCTTTACCTGTGTACGCGGTTTCACTGGAATGTTGTTTATGTATTATATATGTCTCCTTGTGTAGCGCTATAAAAATGGTTCGTTCATTTTAGTTTTATAAAACTGGCGATAATTCGGTGACTAGTTTTTATTTCATTTGTCTTTTTGGAGATATTTTTCTCGCCAAGACAACAAACAACATATAACGTGCTATCGATCTCTAGCAAGATTTTCAAGACCGCAAACGGGGTCAGATGATAAGTAGGTAATGTCTGAACATGGAATTCATTTCGTTTTTTAAATTATGGATGTTTGTCTAGACGTAGTTATTTATTTAAAAAATTTACTCATCAATTACAAGAAAACAAAGATGGATGGCAAATACATAGAAATATGCTGCTTGAAAAGGGCGACCATTTTTCTTAATTTGCATATCAATATTTGAAATGTTCATTTCTGGCATTCCAAAGCTAAATTTTTTTTTCTTTTAAGACGGTGGGGGGAAAACACACGAAAAAAAAAACGTTTTAAGCTGGAAAAATATTCTATCTTAGACGAATTAATTAGCTACTTATATCGTCTCGCATGGAATTCATGAGTAGATGGATTTTTTTACCGGTATTTATGAAATTATAAACTCACGTATTCATTCTCCTCCTATGATACGTCTCTATTAAGTTTGTTTTTTTTTTTATTTTTAAGATAGTTTTTACCCCACAGTCAGTTTTTTGTTTTTAAACTTCAAACATACCCATATGTTTATGCTTCTTCTTGACAGCACCAACGACTTGATTATTATTACCTTTTCTTCGTAGCTTACTCAAACTGTATTCATTTTATGTATGCGTATTTCGTATAAACACGTGTGTGTTTGCGCGTGTGCCTGTGTTGTAATGTAGTGTGTATTATTGCCTCTATGTGCGTGCGTATATATACGTATGTTGTAATTCACTCATGACTAGAGATGTGAATTAATTTGGTTACGTTTAAAATGTGTGTGTATGCGTTTAAGTTTCTTGTGCATTTAGGATTGACGTAGGAAAATAATTTTCATTTAAAGTAAATTTCTGTATATTTTAAAATGTGATACACTAAAAAAAAATAATGCAAAAGTACCGATAGCGAACTAAAATTAATGCTATAGTTTTAGAATTTAAAAATCACCTTTTATGCGTTAACTAACAGTAACACAACAAATATCCTTCTTGTAGGGATTTTAATTTTTTTGTATTTTTCATCTATACCCCGCTTTTAGTTTTAAAACTATTTATTTTTTTTTTATCTAAAGTTTGACTTATGTAGTTTTAACTTTGGAAAGGTTTTACTTTTAATAAAATATTGAAGAAAGAAGAGAAGACTAAGAGTAATTTTAATTTTTGTCAGTTTGTCTAATTATTTGCTGTTTATTTTACAGCTAGTCTTCTGGTAGGTTGGAGTGGTACAGTGGTGTACCCAAAAATCACAATCAGTGTGTTAAATTTGGAAGAGGTCGTATAGTTATGGAATGCCAATGGTAAAATATTTGGTAAAGTTTGATGCTTATTCAACTTGATGTCTATCAGATTTGCACTTGTGTCCAAAGTAATTATGTGTACCTTATAAAAAATAGTTTGAGTTTAGACAAGCTTTACTTTTTTATTTCCCATTTATACCAGAATTGTTCATGGAATAATTTATGTAATTACATAATGTTGAGGGTTTAAATCTTTTTAATATTAGGCCAACTATTCTGGTAATCCTTGTTTTGTACGTTTTAAACTTACTTAACCAAGTTTGGCACAAGTTTTGTTTCTGGTCTTACTGTTATACAATATAGAAAAAAAGGGAAATAACCTATGACACAAATCGATAATTAATCGCAAAGACATGGAAAGTAATTTGTGTTATTTTTGTCAATTTGTTATGAATAATTTTGACCTATTTTAGTTTATTCGTTCTGATTGAAAATTCTTATTTGTATTCAATACAAACAAAATGTTGGTAATTTTTACACTTACAAAAAAATGAAGCCTGACAACTGTTATTGTAAATAATGATGCAGTATTTTTCTTTTCTTTTACATTTAACTAAAATGATTAGCAACAAAAGCAAGATTTGTTGATGGCATTGTAGCATACATGTGTCCTAGTTCTCTGTGTATTTACTTTTTCTTTTATTTAAATCCTATAGGATTAAAAAAAAGTAAGCATGTATGCCAAAGAATAATTATTTTATTAAAAATGTAAGCATGTATGCCAAAGAATAATTATTTTATTAAAAATGTAACTTTTCTTATGTGTGTGTATAGAAAAAATTTCTTAATATTTCTGATAGTGTTGATTTTTAAAACTGTAAAATCCTTTTAAAATGTTCATAACTTTATGAGAAATAAGCTAAGTAAAAGTTCAATATATAAATAATGACAAATGTTTTAAAGAAATTTTATAATTCTAGATGAATTTCCCCAAATGTAAAGTATAAAGGTTTAAAGTCATTCATGTAGCAAATTTTAAATTATTTTTACTAGTCTGATGTAAATGTTTTTTATACTATTGATATTGAGGTTTTAGAACTAATAAACTATTTTTAATCTAGAATTAAAGACATGAAAGATTTTATATGGTATTTTTTGTTTCTGCAATTAACTCGTTGATACTTTTCAAAGAGAAATTCCCTTTATGACTGGTTCCCTTTAGGAATCTTTTTTTTTTTTTTTTTTTTTTTTTAAACGCTATTAATGTGAATTTTTGTTCTATTTTGTTATTTTTAATACTGAAAATTTTTTTTTGCATTTTAAGTAATGATCTAAAGTATTAAACTCTTATTTGGAATTATGTAATAATATTTTAACAGCAGCAGAATATATTCTGTTTAAATGCAAGTATTTCAATATCTTAACTGATCCAACTCTCAGTAAAGAAAATTTATAATGTAAAAGACTATATATAATGTGATTAGTGTTAGATTTCAAAATAACCATCACTGGTTTTTCTAAAAGTGTAATTATCTCTTAAATTATTTATTTATAAGGGAAATATCTTTTGAAATAACTATTTGTAAATTGTAAATATAATAGTACCCATATTGATTTGAGAGGGGGTGCTAAAAATTCAGTTTGATAAAATCAGAATTTCAATGAACAAAGAATACTGATTTTGGGAAGTGAATCAAGCAGAAAATTTTTCATTCTTATATAAAACTATGGCCACTTGATAATGATTATTTTCTTTAATCTTTTATTTTTAAAATATTAAGTTTATTTAAGTATTATTGTAAGTAGATGTACTATGTAATAATTTTGTGAGAAACATTGAATTAAGTAATCAATATTATTTATCCTTATATTCATCATTAAGATGCAATAATGATTATGCTAATATATGCATATTATAGTTAATCATTTTAATTATGTAATACTTGTAATGTGCATGGGAAAATAGGTTGCATTACAAGATGAGCCAAGGTTTCATGTTAACTATAAAATTCTATGTATTATGTCAATATAGTGTTTCTTTTCAGTGTGTCCATCCTAGTGTCTGACTCATTTCACTTATATTGGTAGAATGCTCAGTAATGCTTGTTTATATTTTGTTGAATGAATCTTGAAGGAAGAATGTCCGAATCAATCCATGTGGTGACTGTTTGTTTTCAGTCTGATTACAGAAACAACATACAACCATGACGACGAGAGAGAGAAAAAGAAAAGTCTTGGAGAAAGGCATGAATCTATACTAGAAAAGGGTGTTTTCTTTTTATATTTTTTTTTTTTTTTGTCAAAACTTACTATTTATATCTGCAGCTTTGTCTATATTCCATCTTATCAAGATATTGTAGTTTCTATTCATGAATTTTAAATCTTAATATCTTTGTCTTATATAATGTTAATAAAACCACTGTTTTATAAAAAAAAATTAGCGTTTAAAGATAACTGTTTAATTCCACATGACTAATTCAATTACTAAAACAAGAAATTGCTGATTTATTTGATTTTATGGAGATATGTATTTTTAACTTTTGTTAAAAAAACATGGTGTTCAGATATTAATTTTACTTTTACTGTAGTTTTAGATATCTTGGTTTGATTATTTTTTTTAAGTAGTTATAGATGTAGTTGTTACATGAATTTTTTCTGTTCATATTGTCACTTAAATGAGAGATGTATAGTAAATATAAAGAGAAGTGTTGCAGAAAATTAACCTTTTCTGTTGATTATAGTAATGTTATTTACATTACCATGAATTGATTTTCTGTGAATAAAGGTATTATAGATCATTTGCATGGAAGTTTCCAAAGTTCTTTTTGTTTTTTTTTAATTTTTAAAAATTGCTTCTTGCTTATACTAAATAAAAAAGAAAACATTTAAGCAAATCTTTATAATGTATAAACCATTGTAAAGTATTTGTAAACTGAACAAAATAAGCTTTTGTTTCATTACTAAGCTTTGTTCTTTGCTGTACAGATTGATAAAAGAATGTCATTGTTTTTACAATTTTTGCATTTATATGTAGCCAAAATTATAACAATTGCTCTATAAAATAAATTTTTAAAATGATACAGCTTTTACTAATGAGAGTACAGTAGGTACACAATTGTTGTTTATATCTGGATTTTCCCTTTGATAAACATGCAGTAAATATGTGTACCACACAATTTTCTTTTATAGCTTTCGTATTTTCCATTGGCTTATTGTATGTTTTTTATTCTGTGTTATACACTAATGGCTGAATATTAATGATTGAAGCTTGTATTATTAATATGTAATGGAATTCATTCATATACAATGACAAAAGTGGTTAGCATTTTGGGAAAATAGAAAATTTCTTCTTGCTAGTATTAAATGTGCAAGTTACCAAGTTCATATTTATACATTGACTTAAGACAAAATATTGATTAAAATAATTTAAATAATAATAATTTAAAAGTACAATGTATTAAATTAATTATAATTAATGTATAATTGTTATAAAATGTCCAATATTATTAATTTTATGTTTGCAATATTAAATGATTTATTAAAAGTGTTTTGATTAAATAAAATCTATCAAATTGTATAGAATTTCTATTCAGGTGTACCATTTAGTCTTGTTTTGAATCATTTTGTTAGAAGTAATATTTTCTGTAAACAGTGTATTAAATTATTTTTGCTTTGTAATTATTAGATAATCTTTTAAAATGAATACTCAACTTTAGCATAAATTCACAAAAATAAATCCCTGTGAATGGATTTCCTTTAACAAAGACACTCAGAAAAATAAAAATTAAATACTATTAACAAGTAGATTTTAGTTAAAAGTTCATGTTTTGAATAACAAAACTCAGATTTTATAATTCAATCTGCAAATTTTATTCTCTTGATAGAAGAAAAGTGAAATTAAGTTTTATTTATTTTTATTTTTTATATCAAGTAAAACTTTGAATAAATTAAAATCTAATTTTATCTAATACATATAAAAAATAATTGCTTAAATTGTAACTTTCCAATATATACAAATATTGTTATAATGTATTATCTGTTAAAACATAGTACATAAATTACATTTAGTTCTTATTTTGTATAGAAATGGGAAATAAAAAGAACTGAAACATTAGTATTAATGGTAGAGCAAAACTTAATTCTTTTTAATTTTATTTTTAAATACTGTCTGCTGTCATTTTTGTTCAAATGGGGGGATGTTTAATGAATTTTTGTGTGTGATAAATTAGTCAAACTTTTCTTTTAAAAAAATGCTTTTAGCATATCATTTTATATTTGCCTGTTCCTTTTTCTCTGTTGTTGATAAATTGAAAGGTTACAAAATTAAATAGTATTTTAATTTTTTTTTTTTTTTAAATGTGCTGACCCAAGTTATGGTCCATTTAGAATGCAAAATGTCAGTATGATAATGTCCAAATTGATAATTTTTTTTTTTTTTTTGCTATTAATAAAATATAATTTGAGACTAAATTTTAAATAGTAATAAGATTTGTTTAAATATATTCAGCATATTAAATCATGCATCAGCAACAGGAAGTGAGGAGTGGGGAAGGATAACCTAAGTAAACCAGTTTCACACTGCTGATTGGCCTATTAATTTGAAATAGGCTTTTAAAAATATTTGAGGACAACAAAAATATTTTCATCAATAGTAATTGTAAATGTCTGCACTTGCCTTTCTTTTTAAAAAGTTACATTTAACTACTTGAAAATGACTAAGCTACAAAACTTGCATTCAAGTAATGGATAAAATGTTTTGTATGAGATGTACACATTTGTGTGTGTCCTGTAATAAAAACAAAAACAAAAAAAAAACAGTGTATGCTTTTTGGTCAGGTTCAATATGAAATTGGACAAAAAATTGTAAGTAAAACTTAATCAAAATATATACCCTGTGCATCTATACATTTTAATTATTTCCTTGGACTTTTAATACAAGGGCTGATAAATTCTTCAAAACATGAGCTTTATTGGATAATTTCTTGTCTGTGGTCTATAAGCTTGTGTAAAATAAAATGTTTATACTCAACTGATTCAACTGTAACATTTTTGCAGCATGAAAGTAAAATTATCAAATAGATTTTTTTTTATTTTGCTTTTGTCTACCAAGCAATCTCACCATAACATTTCAAGGTTGATTGCATGATTTTGGTTCATGCTTTTGTTTCTCATCTGCATTAAGCTATTGTGCAGATCCACAATTCATTTTTATTACAAGAAGCTATAGAAAGACAAATCAATTTCATGCATTTGAACATAATTAATGCAGGCTTTGAAATGTTTAATTTTCTGATCCTCAGTTTAAATGAATTTTAGGAATTGGTTGCAATTGAAGTTTGGAAATTGTCTGAATTGGGGTTTTTTTTTTTGTTTTTGTGGATCATTTTCTATCACAGCTTTCAAGTTTTCATTGTTGATAGGTGCTTTTGGTCAATATCTCCTGGTTTTTCTAAATTAAATTTCTACTTAAAAATTATTTTGTTTTACAGCTTCAGATTTATCATAACTAGGACTTGTACATGTATAAAACCGGAGAATAATGAGTTGGAATAGTTTTTATCCACAAATATAATACTTAAAATATAAATGGTACTTTCTTTTTTTTTTTTTTAAATAAAGCTTAAATTGAGAATTGCTAAACCTAATACTTGTTCATATATCAGTATTACATATTTGATGTTTTCTGAATATCGTATGTATTTATGTGTGTATATATATATATATATATATATATATATAAATTAAAGAATATCAAACACTTAAAATCATATATGTAATTTTATTTCATGAGAGCTCTGCAAAAGCAGGTCTTGAAGATTGAGAGCTGCTTTTTTAGAGCTCTCGTGAAATAAAAATTATTACATATGTGATTTTAAGTGTTTGATATTCTTTAATTAATAATAATTTTGCTCTGTCTTCTGACATAGACCTCTCCCTGGATCAAAGGTGCCACTCACTGAGGGCCATTTATAGCTGTGAATGTGACTGTTCTTCAATAATAGCAACTTAGGTGGTGTGAATTTAATTCTCTTAATGGCTGAAATATTGATCACACATTAGAATTTTATTGGATAATTAAAATTAGGTGTAAGAAGAAATATTGTGTGATGGAGTTAATCTATCATTATAACAACACTTTTGAATAATAATGTCAGAGGGGTTAAAGAAGGATTAGGATAACTAGTTTGAGAGTGATTTTATTTTTTGATAGCAGTATAACTTCAATAAATTAAAAAAGCTCAATCATTGAATTTTTTTTTTTTTTTACTACTAATGTTCACCCAATACAAGGCCCAAGTGCTACTTAAGGTAGAGGGTTACTGCATGGTGTTGTATTAGCATAAGAAAGGGCAAGAAGTGACGTTCTTGGGACTATGCAGGGAAGATAACAGCTAACTCTAGACTTGAAGGGGTCAACATTTAATTAGTAAATAACATTTCTGAGTTAAATCTTAAAAGTATGGTGTGGAAGGTAGACTTTAGAAGGAACTGGAAACCCAATACTAAACAAAAAATAAAGGATGAACCTCTGCTCTGGTTCAAAAGAGCAAGGAAAAGTGCGAACTGGATGATAGGTGAACATATCTACTTCTATTGGGAGAGGAGTGAGAAAAAAATAATTAGTGAATAAAACTTCATTGTTTGGGGATACTGGTTGTGTTACAACCTGAGGCCAGTCCAAGATTGAGATTACCTTTTATTAAAAAGGTTAAGTCCGTCACATTCAATCAAATGACCTAGGAAATATCTATGGCTTTACAGTTTGGATTATTTTATTTATCATATAGATTTTTTTTTTTTTTTTAAATTGAAAATAGAAAAGCAACAAGGAGTTTAAAATCCATTTTTATGTACCATAAATGGCCAGTTTCATGAAAAATTGTTTAAATGTTTTTGCTTAATTAGAATTAAATTTTTGTTTACATTTATCTTGTAAAGTTATTTTAGTGTTTGTCAAATGCTTAAAATATGTAAATTGTGAGAAAAATAGTTTTTATTTTTTAATTATAAATATAAGCGGACTGTACCAAAATTCAGTGTTGGATGTTTGCTAACATTTAGCACTGTACATCATTTATAAATATTAAACCCCACCCTTTTTTTTATTGTACATGGAATCCTCTCAAAATATAGTTTTTTTATATATTAGTTCTATATATTTAAAATTGCAGTAGTCTGGATCTCAATTTCAGTCAAGATTGTTTTAGGTGTTGCCATAGAAGGATATGACTACACAACCAAGAAATT